TTTTTCTGCCTCAGTTTCTCTGCATGTCATGGGTGGGAAGGACAGTGTGACAGCAAATCAGAGGACATGTATGGACTCATGCCCGTGCCCCTGTGACACAGTGACAGATCGGTTCTTGGGGTCAGGTGAGCCACACGGAGGCCCCTAGCAGAGTCATGGTAGCCAGGGGTGAGACGGAGTGGGGGGCGGGGCCCAGGGAGGCTGCCAGGTGGGAGTGTGGGGAGGAGGATGGTTCTGGGTGAGGCTGAGACAGAGTGGGCCGGAGCAAGGGACAGTGACTCTGATGTCTGTGTGACCCCGCCACACGCAAAGCTGTTGGCTCAGGCTGGCACTGGGAAGGTGCCACCAGCCATCGGGAGGAGGAGGAGGATGATGTTTCCAAGTCAGAGGCAAAGGTGGTTGTGCAGACCGGGGAGGAGAGGCCCCTGTCCTGCTGCCACTGTGGGCAGTGGGACCAGAGGGGTTTCAACATTTAGGAAGGTGTGGGAGCGCTGGCCTGTGACTCCAGCATCAAGGAGGCTGAGGCAGGAGAGTCACAGGTTTGAGTCCAATTGGGCAACAGAGTGCCTTATGGAGGTCCTGTCTCAAAATCAGTCAGTCAGTCAGAAACGCAAGGCTGGGTGTAACCCAGGGGAAGGTGCTGACTTTAACTACCACTCAGATAGGGAACAGGGAGGGAGGTGCAGGGGAGAGGGAGAGGTTTCATCTCAAACTCATTCGAAGTTTCTTTTTTTTCCTCTTTTTTGGTACCAGGAATGGAACGCAGGATTTTGGGCTTCCAGGCAGGCACGGTGCCGCCCAGTCACATGCCCAGCCCTGGTTTTCTGTCTTCAGGTTCTGCAGTAGCTGCCGCCCAGCCATCAGAAACCGCCTTGAGCGACCGCCTCTCCCACAGCCCACTTCCTCCCGCGGCCTCAGAGCACACACTGTTCCAAGCTGCATACTCGGTTCCTACCCCGAGTGCTTCCAAAAGTGGGAACCTCCCAGAATCACCTGCCACTAGATGAGCGGGCTGGCACCCCAGGTCATGGCAGGGCTGGGGGAGGCACCCGGAAGACAGAAGGCCCCAGGAAACCTCCCTCACCATAGTGGCTGTCAGTGTGGTGGGCGCCTTGGTCACAGTGGGGTTGGGAAGTGGCCACTCCTGAGGACTCGGTGTCCCTGGAGGGGGGCACTCACCTCAGCTGCACTTCTAGGAGCTACAGGGCATCCTCCAGAGCTGGACCTGGCCGAGCTGTGTGGCGGGCTTCTGCCTGCCTCAACTTCTGAATCTGTAGCCCCAGGATGGGGCCTGCCCCTCCCCTGTGCAGGAGGTAGGAGGCCAGGGCTGGGCAATGCAGAGATCAGCTTTCAAGGTCCTCACCCCCAAGGCTAACAGCTCAAGCCTGACATTCCTCAGACCTACGCACACTGAGGCCCCAAGCTCTGCTCGGAACCGGCAGAGCCAGGCATCAGCCCTTCCTTCAGGGATGGGCTTGGCATCTAAAAGCCCCAGGACAGACCTGCATTTCCACCTGGCCAGAGGGCACATGAGCTTCTGACAGGATAACTGGCCCAGGGCCACGCTGGCCCAGGAGGAGCCCAAGCTGGATGTTTTGGACACTGCAGATGTCATTCCCTGAAGCCTGGGCGCTGGGAGCCTGTTCGCTGGCCTAAGCAGAGTGGGCACGCTGTCCAGCTTTGATACATGGACACCTTTGCCATGGCCTTTCTCCTTTCCTGCTTTGGCTTTTTCATTTTTGTTTCTGGTTTAGAGTTTCTCACAGGGTCTCACTTTGTGGCCCAGGCTGGCCTGGAGCTTACCTGATCTTGGGGCCCAGGCACACCTGATCTTGATGCCTTTTCTGTGTCTTGCCCTGGACATCAAGGCCTTGGGGAGAAGCCTCCTGGGACCCCACCAGCTAATACTGGAAGGGGTGGGGATCACAGCACAGGGTAAGGGGTCTCAGGACTTTGCCCCATGAGCACAAACAGCCCAGGACCTGGGTATGGTGGATCAGGGATGGTGTATCCACGCCCACTGTGACACCATGGCTCCGCCCCCACCCCAGCCCTCTTCACCCACCCTGGGCCTCATGGTAGAGATGGGGAAACTGAGGCTCAGGATGTACAGGCCTTGGCTGAGCTATGGGGATGCAGGCCGAACACGGATCCTGGCCCCAGGGCCTAGACACTGGCCTGAGTGTGTGTGGGCATCTCAAGGCCACAGAGAGGGGATGCTGGGTATGTGGACGGGTATCTGTCCAGGCTAGGCCAGTCACAGCAGCCTCAGGAGGCAGTACAGATCCAGTTCCTGCCAGGGGGTCCATTAGGGCAGCCCCAGCTTCAGAAGCCCAGGAGTGCTGCAGGCCCTGGTTGCACAAGGGGAAAGAGCTCCCCCTAGTGACAGGAGCAGTTAGGGGAAATGCAAAGGCAATCACCTGGCCAAAGTCAGCCTGTGACCTGGCTGGGGCAGCTCAGGACCCAGCCAGGATGGCTCTGGGTCGCAGGGCAGTAACCACTGCTGTCCTGGGCCTTGCACACTTGTGCATTAGTCCTGACAGCTAGGACGCAGATCACTTGCTGGACAGGGCTTCGCTGAGCCAAAGTCCTTGTCCCCAAGCCCTGCAGGAGCTGCTCTGGACTGGGCACTGCTCTTAGTGCCTCCTGGGTCCTGGTACACAGCTGGCGGCTGTTCAGCCACACCCCAAGCACTGATCCCAGCCTGGACAGAGCCCCCACATCCACCACTACACAGCCAGACACCAGCAGGCCTGGACTTGGTAGGTGAGGGGTGATGAAAACGCATGGCCAATGTTTAAACTGTAAAAAACGTTATAGGGAAAAATAACTTGCTGTGAAACCCCTAAGTCCTCCTGCTTGCTTCAGACACACTCATCCTGTCATTCTGGCCACCTGGTGAGGTGCTCTGGAGTCTTCTTTCCTGACTGTGTCTGTGAGGTATGATAGGAATTGCAGCAAATGCTTCCTCTGTGTCTGTCAACTGACCTGTCACCTGCACCCTAAGGGGAGGGAGTTGACTTTGGCTCATGGCTCTGGAAGGCTCAATCTGTATTCACCCCACTAAACCCAGGAACGGTGTGGTGGAAGGGCTGTGCCAGAGAAGGGCAGCTCACAGGGTGAGGAAGAGGGAAGAGGGCAAAGAGACTGGAAGCCAAGAGAGGGATCCACCCTTCCAGGTGACACCCCGGGGACTGGATCCAACCAGAGCACATGAGGCCTCAGGGACCATTGCAGATCCCAACCGTAACTGCAGGTGCCTCCTAACAGACAGGTAAGGCCCAATGAACAGGATGCTGTGTCCTTCTCACCTTGGTCATCGGATCTGGCACCCTGTGACTTGTGGCTCTTCTCCAAAGTTAAACTGATCCAGGAAGGGAAACGTTTTGAATCAACTTAGGACAAGGAGGAAGCCAGGATGGAGGAACTAAAGACACTAGGAAGACACTCAGAGCCTCTGCAGAAAGTAGCAAGCACGATGGGATGAGTGTATGTAGAATAAGGCAGAGGATTTCAAGTTTGGGTATTTTTTGGTACTGGGGATTGAACTCACAACCTCGTGCTTGCCAGGCAGGTGCTGTGCTGCTGAGCTACATCCACAGCCCTAAGTTTTGTAACAATTAAACGTTCTCCCTGTTTTTAGTTCACACCTCATCAGTTGCCAGACATCTGTCCTGAAACCACCTTCAGAAAGCTTCTGTGTGTGTGTGTGTGTGTGTGTGTGTGTGTGTGGCGGGGGGGGGGACTCCATGTTGTTCCAGCCTGGGGACAGAGACCTGGCTCTGACAAGACCAGGACACACCTGTAGTGTCCCCTGTCACCCCTGGAGGGAGCAATGGGAGGGGGCAAATTTCCAATGTGTGTTTCAGGGAAGAAGCCAGCTGCAGGGCAGTGCAGACCCTGTCACCAAGGACAAATAGGTTATCCCAGAGCAGGCAGTGGAGGACAGGCAGCAGGGGCCAGAGATACAGAACAGCAGGCTGCAGAGGCTGCCGCTGAAGGGAAGGAGCTGGGAGTGGGACCGCTCCAAAAGCCAGGAATAGCCTGGTTTGCAAGGAAAAGGAGACCCTGGGCCCAGCACCAGAGAGCGGGACTCGGAACAGCTCAGAGGAATGGAACAGGTACGCCCTGGAGCCTGCAGGAAGGAAGGCGGCACCTCGATTTGAGGTTCAGGACTGCTCCAAAGCAGTGGTATGTGTGAGCCTGGCACCGATGGGAAACCAACACGGCCTACCTCAGTGCCCACCCTACCAAAGCCACTGCAGTGCCCTGAAGCTCTCAGTTGCCTCTGCTCCATACCACAGCTGCAGAGTCAGATCGCAACACCCTCCTGCTTGCCCCAGAGTAAAGAAAGCCCCTGTGTTCATTCCTGCAGAACCCTGAATGTCTGATGCCTGTGAGCGCCTTAACATGACCTCAGGCTCTTCCCTTTTGCTTCACTATCATGTTGTGCCATTTCTCAGACCCACCAGGCTGACCCCTGCCCTCTCTCTTGCATCTTTGCTCCTTCCCCAGGGAGCTATATCCCTCCGCCTCTCCTGTCCCAGCTGAGCTAGGAGCCACAGTTACTGCTACTGCCCCGAAGCCTTCCCCTTCTGTTCTCGACAGCCTTGGTCAGCCTTTGGGGATGTGGCGAGGATGACAGCCACCTCCCTCCAGCTGACTATGTGTTCTGTCACTGGTGAGCAAGCCTGTCGGGAGCTGCCCTCGGGTGTGTGGCTGCTGCAGCCCCAGCTCATCGGAGGCCTCTATCTACGCCTGTGGCATGGGACGTCCCGTGGGCACCTGCGTCTCTGATTCAGGGACTCCCACCTCTTCCATGCCTCCCAATGCTGGGTGGGGGAGAAGAGAGACTTGGGTCTCTGGATGAGGAATTCCTTCCCAGGGATGCGCCCTGGCAGGGGCCCACAGAGCTGAGTGGCCTGCAGGTGGGCTTCAGACAGGACCCGCCTGGCCTTGGTAGACTGGAGCCCAGCTCCTGCAAATTGCCGGTACGGAAATGTTATTTTATGTTTTATTTGTTTGTACTTGAGACTGGTTAACAAGGGTGCAGTTTTCGACACAGCTAAGTTTAAGAAGCAAGTTGCGCCACGTCCTTAATCAGGCCAGTGGCCAAGCGTTTCCACAGGGACACAGATACACTTTCTTGAGATTGGGGAACTCCTCTCTTAGTGTCTCTTGTAAGACAGGAGGGACCAAAGGGGCGAAGCTGACCCTGCAAAGAAGACTGTGTGAACGCCCGGCCTGTACCTCGCCTAGAGGGCAGCAGGGAGCAGTGGTGGTGCTCTGCTGAGGGGTCTTCCTGGTGAGAGCAGGAGGTTTTCAGAGCAGTTCTCTCTGGACCAGTAGGTCAACAGAGGCTGCCAGTATCGGGGAGGAGCCAGGGCAAGTGTCCCAGGGCAACACTTGCACACCACGGGCACGTGGTGTTGAGCTGCCAGCTAGGCCGTGTGCAGTCTGCGTGGACATCCTGGCCAGCAGGCAGAGCTACAGCTCATGGGAGTCCTGGGCCCTGCCTGTGAGTGCCCAGCACAGTGACTTACTATGTCAGGATGGAACTTGAGCTTTTCTCCTCTAGACGACATATGCCATGAGGACCCCCAAGAGGACCAGCAGGGAGATGACAGTTGACACAGAGACTCTCACAAGACCCACTGGGAGAACAGCACTGCTGAGGATACAGTCTAAGGGAAGCACACAGCCATAGAATCAAGGCATCCCTGCCTGTCCAAGGCCAGCGGCCTGCGGCCCTCCACACAGTAGTCCTGGGGCCAGGCTCCCTATCTGCCCACTGCTAAGGAGGAGAAGAAAACCCCCTTGGCCAGACTTAAACAAGGCCTGACTCTGTGGATCCTGATGACACAGGTCACTTTGTATGGTGCCCACTGCCTGATCACAGACCTCACTTCGCTCATTCCGAGGCAGCCATCAAACCCTTGGAGAGAATGGGACCCTGCCCTGAAGTTGGCATCCTGGTCACCCACTTGCAGCCCTATGCCCTGGGACTCTATGTCTACATCTATATACCCTAGAACCTCCCAATCCTTGGGGTGTCAAAACAAGAGGATCAATTGGGGTCTCCAGGTCAGGGCTTTTCCGGGCCCTATATGACCACAGCCCAATAGAGGGCCCTCTTGGGTGGCAGCGAGCCCCTGGACACTAGTCTGCCCTGCAGGGCCCCCTTCTGATGTGCTGGACCTGCCCTACCATGAGGGAGACACAGCAGCCCTCTGCCGCTCCTCAGGTCCCTTGGGCCCCACTGTCATTTGCCACACCAGCCCGGGCCCTGGACTCTGCCCACCTCACCTCGGGTCTCCTCCACCTGGATTGCGAATTTGTTCCTCCCGTCCAACTGCCGCAGGGTGTACTTCAGCCAGCAGCCCTGCGAGTCCCACTCCCGGCAGGCCCTTCCTGTCATACCCGGGATCAGCGGCGTCAGATGTGCACATGCCTTGCTGCAGTTCTTCTCAAAAGGGCCTGAGCCGAACTTCAGGCACTCGGCACAGGAGCTGGGGGGACACAGGCCTGAGCGGGTTGTGTGATCCAGGTGTCCCGGCCCTCGAGGGTGTACGCCTGTCAGGGTGCACAGCTGACAGGGTACACGGGTCCCCTACACAGGTGTGGCCCAGTGCCCTGGGGCCCAGCACAGGGCTGAGGCTGAGGGGGCCCAGGCTACAGGGGCGGCACAGCAGGTGGACAGAGCTCAGGCTGGGGCTGCAAAGAGAGGACACTCAGCTGTGCCCACAGAGGAGGGGCTGGGGTACTGCAGCAAGCGAGACCTCAGAGCTGGTGGCACTGGTCTCCTTGGGGCCCAAGGTGGGCATGGGGGCACTCACATGAACTTGGGGCAGGGTGAGGGGCAGCCAGGACACTCCTCGCACAGGGGCGGCTGGTACCCGCCATCACACTCGCACTTGTTGCAGCGACACCGGCCACGGCCACTGCACTCCACGAGCCTCGAATTCAGGCAGCCCTCTGTGGACCTAATGCACTGGCATGCAGAGCCCTCGAAGCCAGGCTCGCAGAGACACCGACCACAGTCACAGCGCCCCCGAACTGGAAGACAGTGCCGCCACCACCACTCAGCTGCCTGCCAAGCTCAGGGCCCAGCACACCCCGAAGGGGCAGGGGACACGGCCCCCAGAGCCTGCGCTGCCCACCCCCACCTGCTCTGTTGCCCTCGCCTAGACCAGTCCCTCCTCCTACAGTGTGCCTGAGCACAGGATCAGAACCACAAACCTGCTGCCACACCCGAGGCCACCCTGGGCCTCCACATTCCACCTGGAACAGGGCCCTGTCCCTGGAGCCTGTGTCACCTGCTCAGAGGCAGAAACCCAGCAGGCAGGGAGGAAGTCACCTGATGCTGCCACCACCAAGTGAGACTGGGGCCATGCGCTTGTCCGTCCATCTGCCCCAGCATCTCATTGCCTCTCTCCTGTGCAGTGGACAGGAAAGCCCCACCCGGAGGGCCCAGAGGGCAGGGCCTGGTCACTCACCTGGGCCGCCACACACCTGCCCATTGTAGCGGTCACAGTGCATGTTGTCACACTCGCAGTAGCGCCCATAGATGGACTTGGTGTCACTGGTGTGGCACACGCACTGCCCGCAGACGCAGTCCCCCAACCCCGAGCAGAGCACAGAGCTATTGTCCTTGCGGCAGCTGCCCTCCAGCTCCTGGCTGCTGCGGCCCTGCGTCTGGCATTCACACCTCTTGCCGATGTAGCCGGCCTCACACCTGGGGAAGGCACATGAGTCAGGTCTCCTGTAGCCCTGGGCTTAGGCTCTCAGGCTGCCCTTGACCGCAATACCGGCTCTTTCCCCAAAGGCCTCCTGATCACACTAGGACCCAGGGAAGTCCTCCCCACGAGGCATATGGTGTCCCTGTCCCTGTGGAGTATTGGTGGCCAGGGTCAGGTAGGGACTTGGCACTGTGTTGGCGCAAGAGGCGGGGACAGGGTTAGAGCATGCACAGAGCTGCTGGGTGCAAATACTGAGCAGTCGCCTGCCCAGTGGCGGTGGCCCTGGGGTGGGGTGGGCGTGTTCTGGGGGGCCCCTGTGCCCCTCACCTGCAGACCCCACACTCCATGGAGCCCTTGCCCCCGCACAGGCCCTGGTCCTGCTGCTGGTCCTGGCAGTGGCACTTGCACTGGGGCAGGACCTGCACTGTCACGGTGTCCGTGAAGCCCAGCGCCCGGATGTCAAAGGACTGTCCACGGACGCACTCTGTGGCCGTGACCTTCACCTGGAAGGTGACCTGTGGAAGCAAGGGCAGGGCTCAGGTGGGGTCTCTGGGTGACCCAGTCTCCTTTGGTCTGCTGCTGTCTCTCCACAGTCATAGGGGACACATGGAAGGTGGGTGCTGGCCTCTAAGGGCTGTGGTAGGGAGCAAGTCAGGGGACAGGTGAGGTGGGCTGCCCCAAGGATGCTGGCTTGGGCCACAGCATCATGGCACCCAGGCCCTTCTGTGGCTCAGGCTTGTGGATGCCAAGGACGTCTGTAGAATGTGTCTTATCATGCACCTAGCCAGGGGCTTCCAGAGCAACTTTGAACGGACACTGGGTGTACCTCCTGAGCAGGAGTCTAGGGTGTTAAGCTGTGTGATCCCTCAGGGAGTCCTGAGTCCCAGGAGGGAGCTGCAGTCCCACCCGGGACAAGGGTCAAATTCAGGCCAGAGAGCCATGGCCAGGAGCAGCAAGGATCCAGGTCTGTCAGAGTCCAGGCACAGCCTCAGTGGCCTCAGCACCTCCACTTGCGCTCTAAGCCAGGGTGGGGAGGGGTGGGAAATGGAGTGCAATGGAGTGGATGCCCTGCAGGAAGGTCCCCCAGCAGAGTGGGGTGTTCCTTAAGAATTCACATGCCAGAGCTCAAAAGTCCAGGTCTGAAGGAACTGCAAATTCCAGCCTCCTGTCTGAAACATAGCACTCTGTGATCCCGTCCCTGAGAGAGGGGGAGGCAGGAAGCCTGCAAGTTTGAGCCACACCTGGGCAACCTAGCAAGAGCCTGTCTCCTGGTGAAAACCAAAAAAGGGCTGGGAGTGTAGCTCATGAGTAGCGCATTTACTTAGAATGCCCAAGGCCCTGAGTTCCAGCCCCAGTGCCTCCAACAGACAAAAACTGCACACAAAATTCAGAAACAGCCAGCCCAACCCGCCCTGCATGGCCCGAGACTGCCCGCAGGGGGCGCAGTCCAGCACTGGTTCCTTCCTTGGGTCCCTGCAGGGAGCTAGGAGCCCTGTGCCCACAGGACTCTCATGACTTGTCCTCTCTCAAAGGCACCCTGGGACCCACGCTGAGAGGGCCCGAGTGTGCCCAGAGGAGGCTGAGGGAGCAGGGCCAAACTGCAAGTGGACCTGCTGCCTCCTCTCCTGCTGCTGTCCCCAAGCCACCCTCTGTCCCTCCCTGGGTTCCTGGAGCTCACAGAGGCCCCTCTGGGGCCAGCAAGCTGGGCAGGAGCCTGGGGCCTTTGGAGCCCTGCTCACCGGGACACCGATCTGCACGCCATCGCAGACCCCTGTGGGCTGGTCCTTGAGCGAGACTCCCATTACTGCAGAAGGAGTCGTAGGTGACCTTCAGGGTGTCTGGCAGGGTGCTGTGGTCCAGCACGACTTTGGAGGAGAGTTTCTGCAGCAGAGAGGAAGCATGTGGGGCTGGGCGTCCTGCTGTCTGGCAGCAGTGGTGTGGATACCTCTGTCCCACCCCTTCCCAGTTAGTGTCCACCAGGAGCCTGGAGCTGGGCGCAGTGTGCCAGGGACAAGTACAGGGCTGCCAGGGCCACAGGCCCACCCTCCAGAAAGGCAGCTTTGGGAGCTGCTGGAAGCTCCATGAGGACAGTCCCATGCCCTCGATGGTGTATCCTCGGCTGCTGGGTGGACCGAGTAAGAGATGAGAGATAGAGACAGGCAGGAAGAGACAGAGACAGAGGAAAGAGACTGCAGGACAGAGAGAAAGCAGAGTGAGAGAGACAGAGGAGGCTGAGCTGGGGAGTGACATCTGGTACATTGTCACGAGTGTCTAGTGTACTCTGGACCCTGGGAGGGGCACACACACATACACCAAGTCGGGACACGGGGGGAGCAGCACAGAGAAGAAGCAGCAGAGAGAAACAGAGATTGTAACTGTACACTAAGTCTTTATTTTAGGGCTCCTATATAGTAAAACAGAGCCCAGGCAATTATCTTGAAAAAGCATTCTTTGTAACAAGATTTGTGATCAACTACAACGTTTATCTCTACTCTCTAAGTTAAACAAGCAAAAACAGTTTTTTTAACAACACTAACCCAGGAGGAATCCAATTAGCCCAAGAATGCACTCCAATTAGCTCAAGAGTGCTCTTAATTTATGTTTGTTCTTTCTAGCCACCTGAAGGTCGGCCACCTCCCCATGACTCTGCAAACAAAGCCAAGTCACACAGCATGAGTTAGAGGGGGGAACGGGATTTTGCAGGTCACGAGGGGGCCAGAGCCTCAGAGTAACTCTTCATCCTCCACAGTGCATGAGCCACCAAGAGTGTCACCTGTGTGGTTTGTACAGAGACTAAGAGAGGGACAGGCACAGGAGGGCTGTGTGGGCTTAAAGGACACTGGAGAAGGAGCCTGATCCCTTCTCACTGCAGCGTATGGTATAAGGCCCTTTCACCAGAGAGTGGATTTCAGGGGTGGTCAGAACCTACTGGTGCCAGGCCCTGAGCAGTGTCTGTGGCACCCTGAGTCCACCAGGACCACAGGGTCCCCGGGGAGCCACATGCCCCCGGGCTGAGGGATGAGGGAGGTGGTGGAGGCCCCCTATAGGGCTTATGTGGGACTGATACACAAGAGACTTTAGCTGAGAAGCATCTTGGAAGGGCCAAGTCCACTTCAGGGACTTCTGAGGCCCCACCCAGCCCCAGGCCGCTCCTGTCTTCTCTGTCCCCAATTCTCCTCCTCCGCTGCTCCATGCGACCCTGCCAGGTACTCACATTGTAGGCCTTCTTGATGAGGTCCACCACATTCCTGGAGTCCTCAGACAGCTCCCCTACAGCCGACTTGGGGATGATCTCAGCAAGTTTCTGTGGGTGGCAGGATGGATGTCCCATCAGCACCTGGTGCAGCTGGGCTCCCAGGCACAGAGCCAGCCTGGATGGTGTCCATGGTCCTTCTTTCTCAGAGCCCAAGGGGGCGCTGGTTGCTGCCGGGGGATCCCAGACTGTAAATGCTCTACCCTGCTGTTCCAAGCTGCTGACCTTGGTGAGCACCTGGGCACACACCAGGCAGAGTGGGCCAACATCAGCTGGGGGTGAGGGACCAGCAACTGGGGGCTCAATAAATCACCAGGAATGGCTGGGTCCTTAGCGCACCCCTTGGGCGCTGCATGATTTCCTTTCTCCTTCATATCCAGGGCCTTCTCTCTGAACTCTAGCCCACTCTTACTTTTTATTTTGGATGGTGTCACACTAAGTCAGCAAACTGCCTGGGCTGGCCTCACACTTGCAATCCTCCTGCCTTGGGCGCCAGTGCTGGGATCTCAGGCCTGTACCACGGGGCCTGGCAAGTGGTTCAAATTGAATAGCGACTGCCACAGGACACAGACAATCCACACCGGCAGGACAGTCCTGCATCCAGCAGTATTGGGGTGTGGACCAGCGGGAGCCCCTGGCTACAGCCTCGCCAGGCCCCTCTGCACTCCCACACAGGGGTTGCTCATAGCTGAGCTGTGTTCCCCTTGGGACGTACCCTTGGAGATTTACTGGACGCATCCTGACCCCTTCGCTCTGGTCCTGCTGCCCATTGCACTGGGCCTGTGTCCTGCCTGTGGAACCTCTGTCCTCTTGTCCAGGTACACATGTGCAGGGCTTCAGCAAGCTCTCTCCTCCTGTGCTCCCCATGACCTTGACCCAGGTGGGAGGTCCAGCAGGACTGTGACCCTCACCACAGGGGCGTGGCTGTGGGACCCTGGTGTCCACCTGTTCCTCTTCCCTCACTTTCCTGCTCTCTTCTGGAGCATGATGTCAGAGACTCACAGCCAAGCACCAGGATCTGCAACGGCCCTGTATGCAGGGACCATCACTGCCCACTCCAGATGAGAACACAGGGTGCCCTGTCCTGGCTGGCAGTCTGGCTTTCTGCCTGTGCTACCAGCCATCAGCCCTTGTGAGCCTTGTCGCTGGCCTGGCAGTGGGGTGGAGGGTTGCAGAGAGGCCTGTCTAGCTGACCCTGTGTCTCCCTTTCGTCCTGCCCCTCTCTGGAGCTCAGGTGATGGGCACATGAGCCTGGCTGGTGGCCCTGGGTGTGTGCTGGTCCTGATGTGTACCTGTGACGTGAACCTGATACCCAGTGCCCCAGGCTCAGTGCCGTGCTCCCTACAGCAGCAGACCTACAGGGGCAACGCATGACTTTCTTTCCCCAGGGTGTAGGTTCACCCTCTGGGTCCTGAACCACAGAGGGTAGCACGGAACATAGCAGCAGGAAGGGTTTTCCTGGGCTTTGCAGCTTTGCTTTTGGTGGTGTCCATGGCAGGGATGTGCAGGACAGGAAGCTCAGCCAGAGGAGGGAAAGCCCATCCAGATGAGGCTCCCCGCCCTTTGGGGTGATGTTGTCCCTCACAGAGCAGAAAGATGAAGATTCCTGGTAAGAGACAGCCTCGGGCTATCTGGTTGTGACAGAGCCAGTAGCCAGGCTCTCTGTTCGGGGATTCTGTGGACTCTGAAGACTTTGTGCAGAGCATTGGACTTACTAGAGGACACCTGGGACCTCCAGAATCCTCTGGTTTGGCTTTGGCTGCAGGTTTCCAGGCCATGCAGGCCGAGAGGAGCACCACACTCAGCTAGGGTGGGCTGCACTGAAGACTAGGCCTCACCGGCTCCTCTCAAGCCCTTCTGCTGGCAGGGTCCGTGGTGTTTATCTGGGGCTTGGGTCACTCAGGGGTCCAATAGCATCATCTGGGGGGCCTAGGACCATGCAGATCAGCTCAGCTCTGGAGGGGCTTGGGCCACACTCAGCCATGCAGATGTCCATAGGCCGGGTCCTGATAAAATTCCCAGCTCTGAGCTCCAGGTGACAACGTTCCTCACTCTTTTCACCATCCCTTCAGGAGAATCAGATGCTGTTCATAGCTTCGTGATGAGGGGACACCGAGAAACCCACATGGTCCCTCTCCTGCACCCTGTGCCCTTTCACCTTTGCTGGCCTCAATCCTCCATCCTGCAAGGGACAAACTGTAGCTGACTGTGAAGGGGTCCAGTGGTCTGCAAGTCACCAAGCTACAGAGTGGACTCAGGAGCTTGGAGGGCCCCTGAGCACCTTTCATGCGGCTGTCCAGTCCTGAGGACATTACCCTGGGGTGTGGCTCTTCTCTCTGCCTGGGCCCTCGGAGTTACTAGTAGCAGAGAACTGGGCTGCAGGGGCCCCTCTGACCTCAGAAACATTGTCTGTTCTGCATCCACTCCTCCCTATGACAGTGTTGGATACAATCCTTGCTGCCCTTGCAGAAAGGGGACAAGGGGCCTGCTTTGGACTGTGATTCCCAAACCCATGGCCTGCCCTTCCCCAAGTGAGGGGGGCCAGGTTGTGTAACTGGGGCCCACACCTCTTGGAAGGCTTGTCCCTGACCACAGGTGGAAGAACGGTCAGCTGGCAGGCACAGTGAGGAGAACGGCTGTGCACAGGCCTGGTGTGTTCAGTGCTTTCCTTTGTGAAACACACTGGGCTGTGTACTGGAAGCAGCTGAAAACTTTGCTATGTCTCCCACTCAGAGAAAGTATCATGTTAAACGCATGTGGGTATAAAACACAAAAGCTTCCCCACCTAAGCAAAAACTCAGATCTGCAGGTTCCAGAGACTTGCAATGTTTCACAAAAAATGAGAAATTCCACCCACACCAAGATGCAGACTGCTGTCTGGGACCTGCAGTGACAGGAATCCCCTTGTCACATCTGCAGGAAGGATTAGATTAGATCCTATGTCTTACTTTTCTTGTAGCTGGGGTAAAATCCCTGATGTCTACAAGTTAAGGGGGGAAGGGACACAGATTGTAGAAGGTACTGGCTATGGTGAGCTGGCTCTAAGGCAGGCCACATGGCAGAGGAGAAACAGTCCACGGCAGGGCAGACAGCAGCACAGCAGCAGGAGCAGCAGCAGCAGCAGCAGCAGGTCTCCTTTTCCCTTCTGTTCCTTTTTGGTTAGTGGTTGGTACCACCTACCCCTAGGGTAGGTCACTCACTGGCTTTGCACAGCCAGAGCTGTGCAAACCAATCAGCGGACTAATTCCGTTATCACACCGTAGTCCACATTCAGTCCCCACAGTCCGGCCACCTCTGAAAAGCCCCACATGTACATGCATGAGGCTTTCAGGAAACCTCTGAGTACAAACCATAACACCCTGCCCTGGCATCAAGTTATTCCTATTTGCTCTTTTGTAAAGGGACTTTCTTGGTGTGTGCCCTTGTCTCTGTTTTGGGGGTTGGGAGCATCCATGGATCCTCCATCACGGAGCCTGGGCTGAGTGAGCATCTAGTGACAGCATGTGACTACCATGCCACATCCAGCAGTCCAGGGCCCCGATCACAGTGGCTGCTCACAGGCTCACACTGGGAAGCAGAAGTCAGTGGCCATTGGTGATGGTGACATCTCCCTACTACTGACCTCGTAGGTGCTCACTGCCCTCCTGGTCACTGCAAAGACAAGCTGGATGTTCTGCTGGACCAAACCATGGGCCAACTGGGCTAGTGACGTCGAGTCCTGGGGAGAGGAGACTTGGGTTAGCTGGCCTGAGCCAGGGTCAGGCCTTGCAGGCTGTCTGGGGAGTAAGCGCCCAAGCCTGGAAGGAATCATCCCCAGTTCGGGCTTGCCTGTGCTTGTGCTGAGCACAGCCCCTCGCTGAGTGAGGGTTACAAATGTAGGAGTGATGCAATTTGTGGGAACCACTGAAATACAGCTCAGAAAATGTGGAACTGGGAGGCTGAGGTGGCCCACAGGCAGCCTGAAGCTGAGGGGCACAGGTCCCACCCCTAATGTTACAGCTCGGACAGCACAGCCCACCCCCTGCTGGCAGCACCCCAGGCTTCCTCTGTGCCTGCTGAGAGCAAGGGCTGTGTGAACCCCCATACCCACCTGAGGGCCTTTCCCAGAGACCTGACCCTGCAGTCGGGGCTTCCCAGAAGTTTCTTCCTGGGCCTCCTGTGTGCTGCGCCAGAGAGAGGTGCCCAGACTCTGGGAGAGACCCACTTGGGTGACCTGCCCTTGACCCCTCCTGCCACTCTGTGGCTTTCAGACAAGGCTTCTGATGGCCATGTCCACCCTGCATTCTCTGTGGGCTTCTGTCCCATGCGCTGCCTGGTCAGGCCTTGGGGAGCCAAGGGGCAGTGAGGGCACTCACGGAGTCATCACTGGAGTCATAAAGGTTGTTCTTCAGATGACAGCGGCTGTCCCTGGGGGGCAGGCCAGGGTTGAGCTGGCTCCGGGTACCAGCAGAGAGTAAGGCACTGTCCGTGGCAAACACCAGCAGCCGAGTGAGATTGCGCCAGCCGATCTCCTCCTGATAAGGAGACAGCAGGGTTACCTGCCTCAGTTTCCCAGCCAGGCCCTCTGAGCTGGTAGGACCATCTTCAGGTGGGGGCTCTCGTCCCTTCCCTGCCAGGGCTTTCAGGGCAGGAGGCAGGATTGGAGCTGGATAGACTTCTGCAGAGAAGACGCTGCCAGATGCCCCCAACTGGCCACCTGAAATGCAGCCTAGGTTGGGAGGGCCCAGCTCCAGCCCATTTTCCACTCCAGGGATCAGGTCCTAGGGAGATAATCCTGAGTGGTAGGAAAGCCACTGGCAGAGCCATCCACTGCAGTGTGGAACCTCTGAGGCCAAGACCCAGGCACGCTGTGTTTCCCCAAGGAACACACACCAATCACATGTGTCACCAATGGTGGCTATACGCACATGTGGCCAGTGTTAGTGTACAATGCCAGGCGTGTGTCCCAGCCTGTGGAGCTGGTGCTGGGAGGCTGGCAGCACCCTGTGTGGCCCATAGCTGGGGCTGGCATGGGTGGAACAACCAAGTGGTTGATATGATCCTGGGACAGGAAGGGCAGGACTTGAGTGAACAGAGGCAGCTGGAAGGTTTCTCTGTCTGCCTCGATGGCTGCAGGATCAGGCTGCCGGCTACCGGGCCTGCCAGGGCCATGCACCATGCAGGGTCTCATGAGAGTCACCTGAGGCTCGAGTGATTTCTGAGAGCTTTGCTGGCCTCCAGGTTCGGTTGCCCCACGTCCTCTCTGCCTGTCCTCTGCTGGGGCTGGCTGTGACCTGGGCCCTGACCCAGGCTGAAAATGATGGGTGAGGTGAAGTCATCAGCTCCAGTCACTGAGGTGACCCCTGACCAGCACAAGAGGCCCCAGCATGTAGGGCTCCATCTTGGGGATCCCCAGCACGGCAGCAGGCTTACCTGGCATGCAGCCACCTGCAGAAGCGTGTCCAGCTCACCCTTGGGAGCATCCAGAGTCCCAGACGCCAATTGTCGCTCCACCTCTGACCGGAACTGGTCATAGTCATTGGTCAGCTTCAGCACGTGCCGGAAGGTCCTGTTCACGATGGACCCAAGGCCTGAGGAACACACAGGAGGCTGAGAGGTGGTGACAGGAGGTGGTAGGCAGGACGCCCACCAGGGAGGGGGTGCTGGGGCACAAGAAAAGTGCCTGGGGTCCCTGTTTCATAGCATGGCAAGAGAGAAAGCATGGTGGTGCAGGGACCAGTATGTGAGTGTGTGCAACCATGTACTTGTGGGCAGGAGTGTGTGCACTTGTGTGGACACAACTGTGTCCACGTGTGTGTATTCCTGGTCCACCCGGGTGACAGGCGTGTATTAGCGCATGTGTGTGGCACGTGTATGCATGTGAGTGGATGTAGGCATACAAGGGTGCGACCATGTGCCCGAGAGTCCCCCATCCTCCAGGTGGATGGGCAGAGCCCCTCTCTGGGTGGTACCAGCTGGGGTGATGTTGGAGCTGTTGAAGTTGAAGACACGTACGGAGCTGTGTCATGGCCCAGGCATGGCTGAATTGAGAACGAGGAGATACCTCGGGGGCAAGACAGGCCACACCTGAGGCCACCTGGAGACTCTCTGGATAGTTTTCTTTAATTAGCATCAACTCTGAGGGTCCTTGAGCCCCTGCCAAGGTCCTGCTCAGGTTTCCTGCATTGTCCACTCTACTCCTTGCTTGTTCTGATTAAATACTTGCTGCCCAGGGTCAGTCGGCCAGCTGGCGAGCAGAGTTAGGAGTTCTGCCAAGAATTCAGTCCTTCCGCAGCCCTGAAGACTGTGCTGCCTGTGTCATTCATTTGGGCCTTAACTATGCACCGTTTTGGGGTTGGGGATCTGGGCACAGACCTAGGCAGCACCCCTTGTCACATCCTCATGGGTGGATCCGAGATGTGCATTCTGAATGCATCCATGCATGTTCAGAGCTGAGATGTTTACCCCAAGTATTTCTATTCAGACCTGTGCAGAACTGAGGCCGGAGGGGCATGAATGTCTGTTACTGGGCACTGAACCAAGCTCCATCCTCAGCTCTGATTTACTTCACATTTGGTTAGGATCTTGCTAAGTTGCTGAGTCCCCAGTCAGGCTGGATGTGGCTGTTCTCCACCCGGAGCCTCTTGATGCTTGATTTCCGCTCATAATAAGAGGCCCAGCTGAGCCTAGTGCCCTGTGAGTGTCTCTGTGCTCCAGAGATGCTGAGCCGCTGGGCCTAGTTCCGTGCTTATTTCCCTAGTGCTGTGATCACCTTGCGTGCCATGTGCAGACTAGCACTCTGAAACTTCCATCTTTTAAACACATCTAAGAATAGGAGAGGAAGGAGAGGCAGCACAAGGTGCCACTTTACCTCTGTGACCAGTGGGTAGCCAGTGACACATTTGTCCCCTTGTTGGAACACAGGCCCCAACTCTAGCCACGTGGATGTCCTGGGACACGGGCTAGAGCCCCGGGTCGCCCTGCCTCAGAATGGGCACCCAGGACCGGGAAGAGCAGAGCCAGATGTGGCCCTGGGTCTCACCTATGCGGCCGGATGCAGTGATGCCCTCAAGGGCCTGTGACAGGTCCCTGCCCAGGGTGTGGGCATTGGTGAGGCTGTGCGTGGAATCGGAGATAGCCATCAGGAAGTACAGGTCCACAGGGTACGGTTGGGTCCTCCAGAAAGTCATGGTGAACACAGCCGCATGTCCTGTGGGCCAGGACCAGGAGAGAGCCAGCGCTGCAGGGTCACCCTGGGACTTGGGCAGCTGTGACACTGAGCAGGCTGCACGGGGAGGTCTCCCAACACCCTAGGGCCTCCATGTGCTCCTCCCCCACAGCCTCAGGGGGCCTGTTGGTCAGACTCAGGGCGTCCCAGGAAACTGGGTCCTCGGTGAGGAGCACACACTGCCTGTACAAGGAGTCCTTGCTGTGGGGGATGTGAGTGTCCCCCAAATTTAAGGCTAGGATCCTCACACTGAGAGGATGGGATTAGGGGTGTAGTGTTTGGGTTGGTGGGGCCAGAGCCTTTGTAAGATCCCAGAAGGCTCTCGCCCTTTTCCTGCCCTGGATAGACAGGGCCAGCAGGAGGCTGAGAAAGGGCTCCACCCATCCATGCTGGTGTCTTGGTTGCAGACTTGACCTCCAGGAGTGTGAGTGGCACACGTTTCTCTGGGTGACTGGCCACCTGGCCTATCAGCACCTGTCTCTGTCCTGCACAGGCACTGGGCCATGCCAGGAAACGTCAAGCCTACCTGGTCTCAGGTACAGCTTGACCTTTTGTGGAGACAGCTGCTTTTGGCCCCCCTCTTGGCCCTCCTGGGGTTCAGCAAGGCTGGTGGGATCCATGATGTCCTCAGGCGCACAGCCCTTGCTCAGCAGCTGCTCCCGGGTGTCGCAACGGGCAGAATCAGGCTCCTTTGGCCCCGTGAAGTTCTGGGGGTGAGGAGTTGGGCTCAGCAGGAGGTGGTGAGCACAGAGGCCTCCTGCTCTTGGGCCTGGGGAGCCCATGGTGCCTGTTTGCCCTCACCTGCTTTGAAGGGTAGGGTAAGTCCCTTGGGTTTGGACAGCCAGCCAGGGAAGTGCCAGCCTCCCCGACAGCCTCTGCCGGGGGCTCCAGGTCACCCAGAGCCTCAGGGAGTAGGACATTGCCTGCCCTCAGGGCCCCTGCCTCAGCCAGGAGAATGGGGCCCTGGTCTCCACCCAAAGGGCGAAGGAGCTGAAAGGGGACACCTGGCTGGTCCTGGGCCAGAATCAGCCTCTGGTTACCTAGTGCTGAACTGAGGACCAGGTCCCTTTCCATGATGACCTCATCCTGGGGTGCTGCTTTCCCTGGGATCCTATAAGAGTGCTCTGGGCATGCACCATGGATACGCTTGCACCCCAGGTAGCCTCACCTTTGCATCTCACAGGGCATCAGAAGCCAGAGGGAAGTGGGATTCTTGGGTCCAAGGCTCCTTCCTGTGAGCCCCTGGACCTTGCAGGGCTACCTATAAGAGGTCTGGATGTTGACAGAGCCCCCACCCCAGTGCTGCAGAAGACGGTGTGGGACCCTAGCAGAATCTGCATTAGGCCTGCAGCTGTGAGCCCAGTGAGGCAGGGGCAGTGGTAGACCCCCTGCCTTTGGGCAATGTGTGTGTCGGGGGTGAGCGCCCAGATCCCTCAGAGCCTGGCTCCGCAGCAGTGCAGGGGCGTAGCTTACTCTTCAACAAGACCCTGAAGAAATAAGGGCCAAGGCGCCTCCTGTCCAAGCCTGCTCTCCAAGGGCTGCAAGGAGAGAACAGTGAGTGGGTGTGTGTCCCTGGTTTGAAGGTCTCAGGGGCCGGGAGGAGGTGTGTGCTGGTGTGGGCACCTGTAGGAGGAGTCCTGCATAGGAGCAGGGCGCTGTACCTGGGCTGTGACCAGAAAGCTGCACTGGACCTGGTCGGGCTGTGACCCCTGTGAGTCCATCACAGGGATACTAAGTGCGGCTCAGTAGGACCATGGAGCCCAGGTCCAGGAGGGATGCGGCCCCGGGCTTTCTCTGTACCCTAGGGCGGACTGTCTGTCCCCTAAACCCTAGGCCTGAGTACTGCTTGGATCCCCATGGGTGTATGCGCATTTCCTTCAGAAGTTTTGCCCCTGGGGGCCCCTGAGCCATCATCTCCCCCCCGCCCTGCAGCCTCCTGCCTGTAGGGCATGGACTCCCCTGGGCTGGGGCTTAGGCCAGCTGAGTCTATCCCTGTGTCCTTTAGGCCTTGCTGGGGCCTCCAGTTGCCTAGCCTTGCCCTGCCCGGCCCATGAGGAAAGGGACTTCCTGGGGTGTCCAGCTCCAGAGAGACAGGGCCTGGCCCAGAGAGGTGGGCAGAGGGCTCAAACTGCAGGGACCTGGTCCTCACGTGCCCACAGTCCTCACCGGCTTCTGGCACCAAGCGCAGCCAGGTGTCCACTGGATGCAGTCCCGGCAGGTTCTGGCCGTGGTCCTGTTGCACTCCTGGGAGAGGACTAGGGACATGGGGGTGGGCATGACCCAAGGCTTGTGGGCCCCAAGCTGTCATGGCTGCTTTGGCTAAGGGCAGGGTCAGAGAAGGCCAGACCCTTCTGCAGCTTCTAAGTCGGGGGGACCATGTTGCCCACATGGGGTACAGAGCAGAGCCCGGGGGTCTTCAGAAACCTCCACCCAGCAGGACTTAAGGGTCTCCTCCTCCCAGCCTGAAGCATCCTGCGTGGAAACCCCTCCAGACTCACCAGACCCCAGGGCCAGCAGCCCAGCCAGGGTGAGCAGCGGAGGGTGCCAGCCCTGCATGTTGGTCCACAGCCTCAGCACCTTCCAGCGGGTGGGTCTTGTCCCTGCAACCACCAGGTGAGGATCAGATGGGCAACACAGCCCTGTCCCCTGCATCCTGACTCAAGCCAGCGTTAAAAGGGGGCAGGGTGGGGTGGGGGAGAGGGTTGGGCCTGGATGCAGACAGGGACATGTAAGTACACTGCATGTACCACACTCACAGAGCTCATGTCCACACACACCTTGTACACTACTCATGCATCCACACACACTCCAGGAGCAGCACACACGGTGTCTATCCACCTACCATACACAACACGCACTCAGCTCACACCTGCACACACACGCAGCCGTGTGCTAGGCCCTCAGTGCCCTCACCTGAGCAGGTGGTCACTTAGTGCCAGGGCCCTCTAGGCAAGACAAAGAAGGACCACAGCCTGGCCAGGGCAGGGCTGGGACGGCCACTGTCTTTCACAGCTGCCCTGGCCTTGGGTGTGCTGACCCTTACTGTGGCCCCGATACTCTGGAAGGAAGTAGGTGAGCTGAGCTGAGTGGTCCTGGGTGAGGAGCTCCCCATCTTCCCAAAATGCAGAGACACCCTGTGGGCAAAGGCCCCAGACCCTGCATGGGGAAACCGAGGCTCTGAGCAGCACAAAGATAGACCTAGGTGTCCAATCCTGTGCACCCACCCACTTGGCACAGAGAGGGTCCACACCCTGTGACAGAGGACAGACCCATAGACTGAGCAGGGGCAGGTGAGGTCGGGGGGAGTCACCCCTGTCCTCTGCGTGTGGCCCCTTACTTGCTTGGCCTGGGCCTCCACCATGGGCAGCTCAGCCTTTGGCTGACCAGAGGGCAGTGTCCACACCAAGACTATAGGTGCCAAGCCCTGGGCAGAGGCTGCTGGGGAACCCAGGGTCAGGACCACTCGGCACTTTGCACCAGAGCAGCAAGCTCTTGTTTGCAAGCTGGTGCAATCCCCACAGCCCTAAAAAGTGGCAGAGGCCACCAGGTCCCCAATCTTCAGGGCCTGTGTCACCCTTCCCTGGACCACCTCAGGAGTGGGGCACCCTGGCTTCCATGTCACCAAGTCAGCACAGCTAATAAGGATGCTGCTTCTCCATCGATAGACTCTCAACACCCAGGCCGAGACAGGACGGGTCCTTCCAAAGCACAACGCTGTGCACACAGGAAGTAGAGCTCTCAGGTCAAAGAGGAGAAAGGAACAAAAAAAGACACTAGGGCAGGACAGCGGAAGGTAACACACGAGCCAGGGAAGACATTGCGCTGGATTGCGCTTCCCATTACAAAACTGCAAATTTACAAAACCCCAAATCCGAGCTGCTTGAGAAATGGGGGCTCTGCAGCCATATTAGAAAGTGGGATCCACCCAGCCTGACTGTCCTGGAAGCCACTGGATGGACAGGTCAGGCCACATTGGAGTCAGAGGCCCTGGGCCTGAGGGGAAGGTGGGCCATGTCATTGGAGAAGAGGGGAGGTCTAAAAGCCTCTGTTCCCCTGGGGTCCCCATCCGCTGGATCCCCTCAGCTTGTGTCATGCAGAGCAAAGAAGAGATGTGACTTTATAGACCCAAAGCCAGTGAGTCAAGGGGGAAGTATTTCTGCGCCATCTGCACGCAGAAAGGAATCCCAGGAGGCCAGATAATACCTGCCTGTTTCTCTGAGATGTGAGACCCATACAGCCCTGCCACTACCACCAACAGACCTCGGCCGGGACCTGCCCAACAGTGGGTCTTCTTCACTCATCTCCAAATGCTGCAGGACACGCTGGGCCCTGGACACAGGGACCGAGGAGTAGCTGTGGTCCCTTTCTACCGCACAAGTCCTAAGTCACTCCCTTGAAGAGTGGCCTAGAAGTGATGCCCACAGCACCTTGGTCCATTTCCTGGAAGCTGGGATCAGCCTCAGGGTCCAGGGTATTTGGGGTACCATCCAGGGAGGTGGGTGACAGCATGTGCCCCTTCTGCCCCCTTGTGGACCACCTAACCATCACAGCTATCCCTCCTCCACACACAGGTGTGTAGCCCCCCTCCCCCCCATAGGACAGAGGCACTGGAAGCTGGACCCACCCAACCAGGGATAGTAGTGTGGGGTCTCAGCCCCTGGTGAGGAGGGACAAGACTGGGGGAGATGCTCGCCCTGCTGCAGATCCCAGTATGGGGATCAGAGGGTGTCCAGAACTTGGCTTTCACTTTCGGACATGCCGGACCCTGGCGACAGCCCCAGGAATTGGTGGGGGCATCTGGGCCAAAATCTCACACCCTGGGGAGGCCCACACCAAGCTGTGCACTTGCACAACCACCATTAGGCCCAGAGCTTCCAGAGGTGGGACAATGTTACCAGGAACCATGCACTGGATGTATGTGTGCACGTGTGAGTGTGTGTGTGCTCACACAGAGCACACACACACACATGTGCCTACCACACAGACCCATGCTCATGAAAACACACACGAGCACAACAGAGCCCCCTCCACTCTGGCTGAGCAGGTGTGAGTGGAGGGCACAGTCTGGGCGGAGAGTGAGCCCGGCAGTTGGCGGAGAGCTTGCCCTGGCTAGGCTTTCATGCCCTTCCTCCTGCCCTGTCCCTCTAGGCAGTCTGGGGTATGGAGCAGGATTCTCCCCTCCCCAGGTCTCAGGTGGGGGCCTGGCCTGGACAGTCCCAGATGGGGACTGGGCGAGTGGACAGGACCCTGGAGCTAACCCCAGGGTCAAGGTTTCAGAGTGCAGCCCCAGGGGAGCAGGAAAGCCCACCCTGAGATGTCACCATGGAGGCCACCAAGGACACAGGGCCTTCACTTACCGCTCAGTCTGCAGAGGCCTTGGGGGTGTCTGGTGGGCAGGCAGTGACTTCACCTGCTGCTTGCCAGCTGCCCTGTGGTCATATCTTGGGGAGCCCTGGGGCACAGTGGGGAGGCTGGGCTTCCTGTTCTCAGCTCCTTGAGGAAGCAGAGTGACACTGGTGATATCCTCTGGTTTCATCACATGTGGTCCCCTCCTCCCCTCCGTCCTCTCTGCTCGACACCTGTGCTTGACATGGGTGTCAGAGAATTGAAATTTGCTTGAGCTTAGGATCCTCCTGCCTCAGCCTCCAGAGTTCTGGAATTGCAGTGTGCCCCACCTCGCCCAGCTGACCTGAATGCCTTTCCTGTGCCTGGCCCAATTCTTTGTTCTGGACACCAAGCCCCTGGTGAGAAGCTCCCCCGGGCTCCACCTGATAATATCAGAAGGGGAGCAGAGCAGCATGGGAGGACTCAGGGCACAGGTAGTGCAGAACCTGGGCCTGGTGGTTCAGGGACTGGGCATCCATGCCCACTGACACCACAGCCCTGGCACAGAACTCCCAGGAGAGATGGGGAAGCCTGGAGCAGCCACTATGAATTGGCTCTGAGCAGGATTTAAAATGACCATGGCCTTATCATTTACCTGTGAGTCTGTTGCAAGCTGGGTCCCTCGTCTGTCTGCAGATGGCAGCAGATTCTCGGTGAGTGAAGCTCTGTGAATCACTGGTCCCAGGTGAGGTCTGCAGTGACCTGTGATGCTGTGAGGCCTCAAAGGACAAGACAGGGCCACAGCTGAGGACACCTGACCCCCACCTCAGCTGACTAGATAGGGCTGCAGCCTGTGGTGAACCTCAACCTGGAGATAAAACAGCTCTAACTGGCATGGTTCATTACTGAACCCACCCCCAGGTCCTGCTCAGTTCCCACACTATCCACTTTAACCCTGTCCTTTGTCTGAAAACCAAATAAATACAGGCCACCCAGGAAAGTTCTGTATCTCATCTCCCTGAAAATCTCAAATTCTGCTAGAAGGATTTGATCCTCCCAGAGCCCTAAAATCATACACTTGTCTCTTTCATTTAAGCCTTTGCCACCCACTCATTTGAGAGGTTTTGGGCCTGGTCAGTGCGAGATAGAAACTGAGGCTCGGGAGGCTCAGGCCTTGGCCGAATCCCCAAGGTGCAGGCAGAGCAGGGATCTTGGCCCCTGGTGACCACTGGTCTGGGGTCGGGGAAGATACCTGGGGTCCTGGAAGGCCTAGGGCCTACTGAGTTGCTCACAGCGCCTCCCTTGTCTTCTCCACGTCTCTGTTTATGCTGGCAACTTTCCTCAGCTGGGCCATCTACCCTCAGCACCATGCTGATTTAATTCAGCTGGTGTTAAGGTGACCACCAGTGTTTAATCCATAATAGAAACAATATGTATTTCCTAACTAAGGAAAACACAAGTGGGACACAGGCTGACCTAGCACATTATCAGGCAGAAGCCGCTGGACGCTCTCAGTGGAGGCAAACTGAATTTAGCAGGCAGCAGGAGCACAGTCACAGGGCACTGATTGATTTTTAACTCTGCTCTAAAATGTCTATCAATTTGCTACTTGGTAACTGTGCCCTTACACAGGCACTACAGAGCCTTCCCAAAGTCAAAGCAATCCTGAAAGGGAAACATTTTGAATTGATTCAGGACATCCAGGCAGCCAAGAAAGCAGACTAAAGACACACGGGAAGAGCACTCCAGAGCTCCCGTAGAGTGGCCAGGACCATGGGAAGAGGGTGTGTGAAGTGAGGCGAAGGATTTCAGTGTTTTGGGTTTTTTAAACATTTAAACATGCACTGTATTTTTAGATTTTGAAGCAGGCTTTAAAGGAAGGCAAGCTGTCCCAACCTTGAACGATCCCTCCTCAATCTGCCCTATGGCTGTGACTCCTTGTTCTGGTACTGGTCTGGCAACTGTGTCCTGTAAACAAAGCTGATGACCTTCTATTCTCATGGGAGAGATTTCTAAGGCTCTGTCTTCTTTCAGTGCTAAGTGATCCATTGCTCTGCCTCGCATGCACCCCCTAACCCCGTGTCTGTCCACTAGAAAGACCAAATTTCTTGGCAAGATGTGTAAGAACTGGAGCCTGTGTCTGGGGCTGGCTCAGCCATTTTGACGGGAGCCCTGCTGAGTCAGGTGTGCACTGCTGAAGTCCTCCTGTCTCCCCTGGTCTTCTGCTCTCTTGGATTCTACAGCATCATACTTCATACGTATCAGGCCTTTGACATCTGTCCGGAAGCCGCCTTCAGAAAGCTTCTGTTTGTGTGTGTGAGGGGACTCCATCCTGTCCCAGCAGGAGCTTGGGGACAGAGACCTGGCTCTGACAGGACCAGGCCACACCTGTAAGTGTCCTCTGTCATTCCTGAGGGGGAGGAGGGGGAGTGGGGCAAACTTCAAATGTCAGGGAAGAAGCCAGCTGCAGGGCAGTGCAGACCCCTGTCACTAAGGACAAATACATTTTCATACGAAAGTTCTTTTTAAACAGAAGTGTCTAGAAGAGTCTTGTAATCCACAAACGAGCCCCCAAACTCGAGTTCAAAAAATGAGGCAAAAACATATTTTAAAAAGCAGCGCTGATTTGTTTTATCCTGGGCCCAGCGACACAGTGCAGTTGGAGATTGCAAAAGCTGTGTGTTGCTCCTCTATATTTGCCACCTTTTAAGTATATATCGCAATTTACAAAGTAAGGGGTAGGCGTGGATCAGGAAATTGGCTAATGAGGTAGACCTTTGTTTTTCTTAGGAGAGGACAGAGCAGTCTAGCAATAATTAACAACCCGTTAGTTTATTTTAGCACCACATCTGTTATTTATAGAGGGCAACAATGGTTAACATATCAATTAGGTTAGGTTTTACAGTTCTTTACAGAGGAGAGCATTGATTAACATGTCAATTAGGTCACCCAGAGGAAAAGAAACACACATATAGAACAGTAGGTCACATTACAGGTATTTTGATATAATACAAATATAACGAAGCTCTTTTTGCTAGTTTACAACAGAAAGTGGATAGGAAGCTGGCAGTCACAGCTGGGAGCAGGAGCCTAGAGAAGGAAGGTTCCCACAGGAAGGAAGGCTGCACACAGCCTGGGGCATCTGATAGGATTCTGGGCTGAAAAGATAAGAAGTATGAAATATAAATGACCTTTATTTTAAGAAGGTGGGGAGAACCCCCCCTCTGACCATCCGGGGTCTGGCATTGTCTCCGGGAGCTGGCATTCTCTCTGTTGGACACATGGAGTGGGGGCATACATGTAGCTTAGGTTTGGCTGGTGCCTAAGGGGCATTAGTGATGCACAGGTAGCCCATTGGTATTCATTTCATGCCACAGGTAAATTCCTAGGGCGGGGAAGATAGAGCCCCTTGGTTTTGCCTCCTAGGCTTTTCACCAGCTACAGTGTCCCAAATGGGCCAAAATCCTTTCAGTCTCGTCTTTTGATTATTAGGAAAAAGAGTGAAGTTTTTCTTTCTTTTACTGATTCCTGCTGGAAGGGGGTGCTGTATGGGGTTTAGGAAAATCGACAGGATGACAGTTGATGCCCATGTAGAAGCTGGTGCCAGGTGTTTTAGCCAGGACAACTTTATCACTGGTGAATGCCCGTATGTTAGACTGGAAAAACAAAAAGACAAGGTGTTATGAGGAGGCATGGCACTGTCATATTTAAGGACCCAGGTGAGGTAGAAGGAAAGGTCCCTTCAATTTGGATATGTCATTTTATCAGGACCACATTGTGGTAGAATCATTGCCATGGTAAGGTAGAATTCTGTAAAATTAGTGTGGGGTTATGAGAGGTGATTACTCCCCCATCTGAAAGGGTAAAAGTTAAGGGGCTGGGGATTTAGCTCAGTGGCATAAGCACCTGCCTTGCAAGCAGGCAGTCGTGAGTTCAATCCCCAGTACCGATAAAAAGGAAAAAGACAAAAAAAAAAAAAAAAAAAGTTAAGAGGGTAGGTAGGTAAGACTTGTCTCTGGTATGCATGACGTGGGAAAGACTGTTAAGAGTCCTGATGTAAAAAGGATAATTAATAGAATGTAAGAAATTAGGAACCAAATTGGACAACAAAACATGACAGCCTGAGAGTTGTGGCTGTGAGACCTTGATGATGTGGAGATGAGTAGGCAAAAGAATGGTTAGATCTAGGGCTGGAAGGACACCACTTAGCCTGAGTGATGTGAAACCAGGATGGCAGTGTAGCAACTTTGACCACTGTTGAGGTTGCCAAGAAGAACAGGTATGGGTTGCTCTAACTTGGTTGTAGTCCTTGTGATGATTTGCTGTAATAGGACTTTAGTAAGTATATCAACAGTTTTCCTGGTTGTGGGAAAGGCTTTTATGTTTCCTGAAAAAGTATAAACAAAGGTGAGAAGATAAAATTTATCTGTCAGTTTTGACCAGGGTTGTGTCTGAGAAACTGGTGAATAAGAAAGGAAAGGGGTGCTATATATCTCTGAGGAGAGGTTTACTAGTGATAACAGGTGTAAGCTCTTGAGACTGCAGCGTGTCTGGGTCAGTCTGTACAAACACAAGGGAATAAAAAGCATTTTTAAGATTTAGGACTGTAGGGACTGGGGATTTACCTCAGCAGCATAAGTGCCTGTGTTGCAAGCAGGCAGTCGTGAGTTCAATTCCTGGTACTGGTAAAAAAAAAACAAAACAACAACAACAAAAAAAAAAAACCCGAGAGAGAGAGAGAGAGAGAGAGAGAGAGAGAGAGAGAGAGAGAGAGATTTAGGACTGTAAAGTGAGTGGTGGAGGGAAGATTTGGCACCACTGGGTAGTTTGGGAAGAAGCAGTCTAGAACTATGAAATAGGCCCTGTTTGTAAATGGCATAGGTTGGCCATCAATACCCCCTATAGAGACTGAGGACTTAATATAGTGGCCTGAAAACTCAGGAAGAACTCTATATATAAGGCCTCTATGTCCACAAGTATAGAGAATGTCTTACCTGAGACTTTTTAGTGGGACTTGAGACTCTGAGGAGGACACTTTAAAGTGGGCTGTGGGCTCTGAGCCCTGTCGTCTTCAGCAGCAAGTTTCTGTCAGCAGTTAATCTGGCAGTGTTGGCATTTCCTGTGAGGGCTAGAAGTTAGGATGGCTTACCCACTCTCTGGTGGCTAGGACAGTCCAGTAGCCCTGGGGTAAGATCTCAAAGGAACACCAGGATGGGGCACTCTCTTGCCCAGTGTCCTTCTGCTGCATTTGAGGCACGGTCCATGGTGGGGGCAGGCAGCTCCACCTTGTGTCGGTTTACCTGTCTCAGAACTCCAATTGTTACTGTTATCTCTGTTGTTGAAAACACCAAAAGCCATATTGAGGTCTCCCTGTGGGATTTGAGGTCCAAGTTTTGCCTGTTGTTCTGGGATCTGGTCTATAGTAGAAGATACCTGTAATGGCTTTCCATAAGGAGGACAAGGTCCAAGGAATTTTAGGAACTGACATGTCATTTATGTCAGCGTCTGTGCTGGTCACTGGGGCACTTCCAGGAGGGGTCCCTGTCATGGGGATTCCTGGGCATAGGCCCCAGAGACAGCAGGTGCAGGCACACGGTTCCACCTCCCTGCTGATGACTTGCTGAGGCCAAGTCATCTCTCCTGCTGAGGAGGCACCCTGTGCCAGGACAGAGGAGCCCTTCTCATGGGGGCTGGGTGGGGGCACAGTTGGCAGCCTGTGCCCAGGACTTGGTGGAAACGCTGCATGTGGTCCTGAGGCACAGCTTAGTCTCCCACTGCTGCCTCTCCTCCTGGCCAGGGACTTCTGTCCATCCGAGCTTTGCCTTATCCTTAGGTCTGCCCTTCCTGAGGCCACGCAAACCTTGTGGTCCTATATCTGCTCTGTCCCTTACATCTTCTGTCTACGTCCCAGCCCCAGCTGGGACTCTAAGCAGGTGGAGGTGAGGATTTCCCTCCGCATTCTATGATGTATGTAGTACCTCTTTTCAAAGAACATTTTAGCTATCCCAGAACTCAGGAAGCTGAGGCAGGAGGATTGCCACAAGCTGGAAACCAGCCTGGACTACACAGGAGGACTCTGCCTGAAAAAAACCAGTTCTTACCCCAAAGGTCACCCTCCCATGAACTGATCACCACAGTTCCTCCTCTTGGCCACAGTCCTTCTGGAGCCTCTCTTTCCCCTGTTCCAATCAGCTTCTTCCAGTACTTCTACCTCTGCCTAGGTGAGAATCTGTCTCTGTCGCTATTTTGTGTGGCTGTAGATAGAACACAACACATCAAGTAATTTATAAGGAGAGGATTTGTTGGCTCAGAGCTCTGGAGGCTGGGAAGTCCAAGATGGAGCAGCTGGCATTGGCTGGGGCCTTCTTAGCCCCAGACTCCGGTGGAAAGTCAGGGAGAGTGTGGGAGAGCTGGAGGGGCCTAGTTCATCCTTTCACCAGCAATTGCCCCCAGGTGATGGCTCTGACCCACTCACTGGGGCTGTGCCTTCCAGGCCTGCTCACTTTTTTAGAGGCCAGCTCTCCAGACCAAGGTGATTAGGTGTGAACAGGACTGGTCAGACTGAAGCTGACCCCAGTGGGCAGGGATGAATGGTAGAGGGGAAAGAAACTCCCAGCCTGCCTGATGTGCAAAATACCGAGCCAGCATTTTCTAAAGTTGAGGAAGGAATCAGAGGTTAAGAGTAGGAGGACTTTCATGAGAAAAAGAAAGCTTCTGTCCCAGGGAGAGAGAGAGACAGACAGACAGACAAACAGACAGAGACAAAGACAGAGACAGAGTCAGAAGAGGTCCTGAGTGGCTTGGCATTGCCGTTTCTAGGAATTTTTATAGCATAAAATCACAAGGTGATCCAGGTTTAAGGCAGGAAAAATGGGAAGTCACAAGGCAGGAGAGCATCAGGTGGGACAGGACTAGGGTCAACCCTAAAATTATAAGTGTAATTGCTCAGGTGAAACTGATTAATTGGGATCCAATGGGGAAGCGAGTCACACAGCAAGCCGGCATGGATGCAGAACTGGCCTTCTGCTGTAGGGAGCGGCTGCCTCCCACTTAGGTCCCTCCACGTAAGTAGCTACCTCATGTGGAAACCTGTTAGTGGCTCCTTCCGGCCTCTTCAAGGTTCTAGTGACCTATTTAGAATGCCAACCCCTGCTCTTCATCCTGAGAAAGTATGTGGGCACATTTGTTTTATCTTCTGTCTTGAGGGCTGGCTCACAGCACCAGGTGTTTATCTCCTAGAAGGTTACAAGGTGTCTTCTGCACTGGCTCCTTGGAAGGCCCAGCCCTAGCTGACTGCCTGTAATATTTCTGTCTAACAAGAGCAATGCTCGGGGAAGAGGAAGAACTGTCTTGTGAACCCTTTGTGTAAGTCTTCCGCTGTGGGGAACCACCCAGAGGACTCTCCTTCCTCCAAGGAAGAGCGGCTGTCTCCATTTTGGATAAACTTGGCCCTATTGGTATAGGGGAATGAAACTCCCAACCTACTGTACGTCCGGTACAAGTTTGTGTTCTCTAAAATTAGAGAATGAGGCTTAGGAACAACAGAGGTTAAGAGCAGAATATATCTACTGGGAGAAAGAAAGCTTCTGTCTGAGGGATAGAGAAGGGGTCCCAAGTGGCTTGCCAAGAACTCCATCTTTTTTAGGGATTTCCATAGAGTAAATCCACGGGGTGAGATTCAAGGTGGGGAAAAATAGGAACTCACAAGGTGAGCAGAACTGTGAGAGAACTGTGGTCAACCAATAAGATTAATTGCTAGGTAAAATTGATTCAATCGGGAACAAGTGGGCATGCTTTAAGAGCAGTGACTCTTCTGTAGGGAATTGGGTTGGTGACTCCTGACTTCCTCAGTGTGGTAGAGAACTATTTAGACTGTCAATCCTTAAGATGTGGGTGCATTTGCTTTCTCTTTTGTTTTGAGAGCCTGCCCACAGCTGGAGGTGTTTGTCTCCTCCAAGGTTGCAGGGTATCTGAATGTCTGCACTGCTTCTGTGAGGGCCCAGCCCTGTCTGACTGCTTGTAGTATTTCTAACTAACTCAGCTGCCTGTAACCTATCTGCATGTATTGCCATGTACAGAGCAGGCTGGGTTATTTCTTTGTCTCTTCAATTGGTTTTAAGCAATGCAAATTAGGCTGAGGAGCTGATGTGTAATTTCTGATGCAAGGCGACAGGTCAGGGTGGCCCAGTGACTCCCCAAATGCCTGGATGGGGGAGGTGGAATGGAGAGCCAGGCTTTAGACTAGCCTCAGAAAAGAGGACATGACTTCCCAGAGCGAAAAGGATTGTACATCAGTGTAGGGAGCGGTTTTGAATAGCTGCTGCTGCCCTGCCCCTCCTGCCTGAGGGCATTTTGTGTGTCAGCCTACATTTCCCATGATCCTCCCCTTGCCTGCAATGCACATGACAAGCAAACTTCCTGTTTCAGCCTGCCTACATTACCCATAATCCTCTCCTGCTTACATCATATATCCGGATATGATGATGACCTATCAGATTAAGCCTTCTTCCTGCCTATGGCCCGCCCCCACCCTATATAAGTTGTAACCATTTTAAAAATAAACGAGACTCGATTGGAATCTCATCCTGTCTCCATCTCTCTTTTCTCTTGTCCTGCCCCCATCCCCGATCCCCTCTCCAGGTTGAGACCCATAGATTGATCCGCAGGCCGGATCAAGTGGCGACCACGAAGGGACCTCACCTGGCACGAGGGATAACGACGCGGGACCGTTCACAGGAGTAAAGCGCTGGCCAGCGTGACTGATTCAAGGACATTGTTCCTGTGATCTGTGCAGACGGCCACCTTACGTCTCGCCTGAATCACGGTAGGTGAACGGCATTAACATGGGACAAGCACTCAGTGAGCACGAATTGTTCGTGACTGGCCTCAGGGAGGCTCTCAAGATTAGAGGGATCAAGGTTAAGACAAAAAAACTAATAAAGTATTTTCAGTTCATACATTCAGTGTGTCCATGGTTCCCCCTAGAGGGTACGATTAATTTAAACAGGTGGAATAGAGTAGGAGATGCTCTTAAGGACTATTATGAAGTTTTTGGTCCAAAAAGGGTTCCTGTAACTGCTTTTTCATATTGGACTTTAATCTCTGAGCTGCTGGCACAACGTCACGCAGATCCCCAGCTCTCGGAGACGCTTGCCCAGGGTGAGGCTGCGTTAGCTGCCTCCCGCAATTGTACTCCGCCACCACCAGTCTTATCTAAGGCACCCAGCCCTCCCAGCTCTGTTGTCCTTGAGATCCCAGAGCCTATTCAAGATGGCGATGTGCCGACACTCCCTTTGTCTGGAGACCACGAGGGTCCTCAAAATGGCGCCGCCACGGCCCCTCCTCCATACCGCCCTATTTACCCTAACCTTTCCAGTGGCCAGGAAGTTGATTGGTCACAATTAGCAGAAGAGGCTGCCCAATACTATTCCCCCCGGGTTATGGCTCCTGCTGCTGCAGAACTACCCACCAGTTTTCAGCGACCACCCGGTCCGTCTTCTGCCCTTCTCTCATTAGAGGAACAATTTCATGATTTACAACAGCAGGTTCAGCTGACTAAGGATATACAAAGGCTTTCCTTAGAGCTCCAAACTTTGCATGCAAACCCCCCTAGAACGATGGCCGTCACGGGCCTGCCACTCTCTAAGATAGCGCCTATCTCAGGGTCACCAGGTGGTCAGCCCACAATGATGTTCCCAGTTACAGAGACTGCCTGCCCTCCCAATACAGAGGCCTTGAGAGTAACACATCCCTTATTGTTTCCTGTAACAGAAGTTGCCCAAGCTGGAGCGAGTGACGATAACTTACACAATGGTGGGGAGACAACTCAACCCACCCAAGCTAGTGCCAGTCCACAAGAGGGCGACATTAAATCAATTAGGGAAAGGGGGAGACAAAGGAGGCGAACTAGACGCGGGACTCAATCCCCAAGTCAGGAACATGAAAGAGATAAAATACAAGCTACTACCACAACTAGGGGAAATAAAAAAAGACAGCCACCACGTCTACAAAGACGAGATATAGAAACTGATAATAGTGAGGAAGAAAATGACTCTGACTCGCATAGCAGTGATACAGACACAGACCAATCGGCCCTAGCACTGAGAGCCAATAGGGCCCATGCACCAT